GTATTACTTAGCCTTTGGCCTTTATTATTTAATTTTTGCCAAATTATCGGCGACAAACCGGCCTAAATTGTTCAGAATTGCGGCCCAATATTTAGTTAAAGCTGTCCAGATTCTTTTTCCCATGCAAGCGCGGATATTTCTTCAGACTTGAATCTAAGAATGGGTGCCCCCATTCTTGGCTTCCAGTACAGCTACAGCCCTTCTTATTACTACCCAGGAGGTTGGTTTAATATAGGAAAAATTATTTGACGGCAGGCGTTGGGGCACAAGGGGGGTCAACCCCCCCCCCCTTACAAAAAGCTGGCTACGGGCATGTTAGTATAAGTGTTTTCTGTAGATGTTTGATTTATCCTCGTTGATAACAACTTGACACGGCTACACAAACAGCACACAACCAACAGTACTTTGGAGATAAACACAATAACTCGTATTCCGAAACACAAACAACACAAATGATATAAACACATAAACAGCAAATTAATTGCATTCCCAAACCAGGAAACCTCATTCAAAATACATCACTAACCCGTACACATAATTCCAATCATAACACAAACATAAATATATAATACAAACTCACCAAATATATAAGTTAAACATCAGATAAGACCTAACCAAGCAAGAAAATATATTTTTCAAACCACAAAACGCTTGGTTCTTTTTTCATTCAACAACACGATATAAATAACTGTACTAAAAGATCAGACAATTTAAGGAAGGGAATTTCCGTGTAACGGTAGATTCACCTTACACCTCTTATATACAGTGACCTAGATACATAATTAGCGATTAATATATACACATAAAACTAATCTTAAACCAACGAAACTATTACCTAAAAGAACATATATCAACGTGCATTATAACCAATCTCAATCAAACCGATCAGAAAAGCAACAATATATATTTCTCATAAATTAACAAACAAAGATATATCGTGACTGTTTCGTTCAGATATTTTTTGTTTTAGTACAAGGGGTCTCAATAATTTATTTGTGTTTTGGATGAATCAGCCATCTATGATCTTGGATCCGAATGTTGCTTTAAATGTCGCATTGACTTCGACCGTGATGTATTCATTTTGGAAAAGATGTAAATTGAACCTTAAGAGATGGCTTTTCGAACGTCCATTATTCACACTACCCTACCACGTGACCACGTTTAAAAGGGAAACAGGGTACAGCTTAGTTGCAAATGGAGGACGTGGGTTTAATTCCATATTTCTGAACGTAAAATACATTTTACATATATTTCTAGTGTTCTACCAGACATAGAATTGATTCATCGAGGAGTGTGTAGAATATTGTTGGCAAAAAACCACTATAGGCAAAGATAGATAATAGTGGGCGCAGTGAAGCAAAACCAAATGCAATACACGATACATTTCAGTAAATCTATCAACGTACAGGGAGCATGTAAGTGTCCCTTCGAAAATGTTACATTGATGTGTAACAAAAAAACAGTTAACTGTTGTTTAAACTGCGTGTCATCGTGTTATAGGTGTATACGTTTTCTAGTATGTTAGTCAACTGTATTTTTGTGAATTTGAACAAAACATTTTGAATGGTCGGGTTTTTAGGACGGTAGTGAATTAGACCATTCAAGGGGTTCTATAGAAAGATTCTTCATATGTAGTTCAGGCAATTTCAATTATTCTGAGTAGCAAATAGTCATTAATACTGATAGCGGATAGTCATTTATCATTAACGTGTTGATATTTAATTTCGTTATTTTATTTCAATTTGATACCCTAGTAACACGTATAATCTAGCGTTCTTGTTAATTTAATGACTAAAATGCATACGACTTGAAAGCCCGTGTCTAAATCTACAATAATGTTTACTTTATTTGGATTAAATAACAATTGCTGACACCTCAAAGTATCAACAGGCGGCCTTTTTAGCATTACTTTCACTGTTTGCAACGTAAATGTACATGAGGTCGGGACATGGTATGTCTGTATAATCAGCTTACTTTCTCGCTCCCTGTACTATTGAACAATTTACATTCCTTGTACCCTGTATTGATCAACGTTTGCAGCTGTGTACCGTGTACTATGACATATCAAATATTTTAATATTTAAAACGATATTATTTACATTATTTCTTCAACTATCATATATCTTGGAACATGGACTTCACTATTGCACCACTGAAGTGTAGCGAATAGCAATATTGACTCACTCCGAGCACCAAACGTATTAACCTTTTGACTAAGCAGTCGATATACTCAAAAGCGACATGTTTGAAAGCCAAAAGATTCGCGCATGCGCGATCGAGGTAGGGTAGTGTGTTATTTACTTGCTCGGAAAAGGAAAAGCGTCCGGTAAAAAACACCGAACGGTATTAATGCATGCCATCATTAAAAGATGTCGCGTCGGTAGACCGTCCGGAATTCACGGCAAGGAACGGTAAGAGCGTACGGGGGAATTTCACCGATCGGTAAAAGCGTCCGGTTAAAATGCAACGATCGGTAAAAGCGTCGGGTATACGGAGATAGGTATACCGTACGTACTGGATTGGGTCATGAAATACCGAACGCTATTACGAGAATTCAGATCGGGTAGTTTAGAAAAAGCGTCACGGTTTTTGGAAAATAGCGTCACGGTTTTTTCAAAATCCGTGACGCTTTTTCGAAAAAACCGTGACGCTTTTTTTCAAATATCGTCAGGCAAAATTAAGATTGGTCACGTTAAATGAAATAGGTAACGGAATTCCAAGCTATGTACGGTGGTTTAAGTGAAAGGGGTCACGGATCCAAATTAGGCACTGGATTTTAAAAGCGTGCACCAAAACTACTAAATTAGGTACGTATTACTTTTGATACGGAATTCATGCCATATCTTTTATACATCTAGACAACAGGTCGTCCATTGAACCCTCCTTCAATGGACAAATCGGACGACCTTTTCATTGCCCATACTATCTAGTATTTGAAGACTCCAGAAGCAAATTTTGTATTTTGAATTGTATTTCTCTGTGTTACTATTACAAAATTTCAAAACATATTTCATATTTGGATTCTCCTTTTCGCTATTCGCTCTTCAAACGAGGAGACGAGGAATAGTTTCCTTATATGGACAAAACACTACCCATGATGCAATTCGTGGGGGAACAAATTCTTACTTCCTTGTTTTTCCCTCATTGACATACAGTAGACTAATTCATTAATATTAAATGGTGAGGCACATCATGACAAATCATTGGGCACGCCGGGTTAATGATAGGTAATACAAGAAAGTGCTATAAAAACAGGAACTTTATGGAGTAGCAAACCCCACCGAACAAAACATGTTTTGATGAATATTGGCCATATTGAAAATGTATTTTTAACAGAGCTCCCTTGTCCCTGTGTAACAGCATATAAAATTTGAACCAAGTCCGCCCACTGATATCTAATCATATTTATTTATTTATTTCCTATTTAGACATATGTTTTGAATATTCGCTTGTTATTGAAGCATGATGCACAATACTTTAAACAGTGTACGTAGATAATTTGAATGATAACTTGTAAAGATGGCAGGCGAAATAAAATTAAAAACGACATTGAGTTTTGTTACATGTTTAAATATTGTTAAATTAAACTAGTCTAGCTACATGCCCTGTGACCCCCTGTACTACAATAAAACCTATTTATATCCAAAGAACATGTGTAAGTTTCTATAGATTTATTATATCAAATATAACTAATGTCATTTGCGATAGGCCTAGTTAATTTTTAAACAAAGCATTTGTGTATATGTTTTCATATTCCTAAATCATCTAGTAAGTGGTATCTTAACGTATTTTGATATGTCTATATGTTTTCGCATATACGTCAATGTTTACTACTGCACTCTATTGACGGACTTTGATAATGAATACAATATAACTCGAGGGGAGGGTCGAGCGAACCTTGCCCAAAAAATTATTTCAAAATCATTTTCACCACTGATGTTTGCCATTTTGGGGCCAAAGTTAAAAAAAGTGAACCCCCCTGGAATTTCTTTTTGAAAAGTGACATCCCCTTGTAAAAAGTGACATCCCCAGGCAACGGAGTATTCGAGTTTGAATAATGGCTGCCAATTCTCGTTGAGATGCGACATATTGTTTTTCCCATCTATAATGAAAACATTCTATTCAGGGGTTGCCTTGTCAAATGACTTATTATGAAACATCTACTGGATAATTGCACAAGTCTACGAATTTATCAACAGGCGATCGGGTGAACAGTCCAGCGCTATCTTTACTAACGAATCATTCATGCAGGGTAGGGTCATTCATTGACTTCTTGAATCAAAAACAGAGTATAGTAGTTACAGCTGAATTGATGAAGAGGAGATGTGGCCTATTATCCAGCGTCATCTATCTTTCATTCATAGTCGCCTGATCCAATGATTGATATAATGATTTCTTGAACCATATAGGCCTGAAGTGTCAATCTATCTAGAGTCGAGGTGGCATTTTGTGTAGCGCACTCAATATGTAAGGACCCTGGGGTAATAGTTAAATAATAACAAAGGGGAAGTTTAACTAAAAAACAAAATCAGGGCCGTCAGTTAATGGCGGAAATAAATAATTAACAGTTGGTAGTGTGACCAGTAAATATGGGGGCAAATGAAATAAATACAACAACAATGAATGGTAGCGTGGAAATTTGGAAAGCAAATTGGAATAAGTAAATTTAAATAAATGGTAGCGTGAACGTGGAATTATATGAAAGGGAACTAAAGTTTAATGAATATGAGGTGTACTGATAAATACAAATGTGTGATACTATATTACAAAACGAGAAACAAATAAAATAAAGTTTCAAATCAATCTATTGTAAATTAAATCTCAAAGATAATAAACACAAATACAATGTTACAAATGAGGTTTGTTGGCACTAGAGTATGTTAGTCTGGCTTACCCACTGTTCTGGTTCTCTCTGGTCAGACATCATAGCAAGACGGCAAAACAGCAATTTATTCCCAAGTGTTGATTTCAAGTTAAATTCAAATAAGCTAAATGTTAAAAGTAGGAAGATAAGTATAAACGTTCAAGTGACTGTCAAAGGCGTACAATGATGACCAAAGGAACCAGACAGAATATATACGATGGGCAACCAGATTACCATAGTCTAGTGTAGTACCTGACCATTCAGCCAGACACTAAACAAAGGGATGATTATTCTAACTAGGGATAATCTACAAATCATCCCTTTGATCCAACGGGATAATCTAAAACTAATTACTACTTGGTACTATTCTACAAACTACAACTAATCGTCTATTCAGAGAGTCTGAATAGAGTCGTCTGGGAAAGTAAGTTCGAAGTAATAAAATTGCGTGCGCACCTGTACTGAGTGTACAGGTCGCTTGAAAATGGATTAAAATGACAAACTTACTGAATGCGAAAAGTAAAACGAAATTATTAATTTAATCAATAGCAATAAAATAAAAAGTGAAATGACAATCGACAACAAGTGTCTACATAAAATACAAGTTGAATAAAAGTTACAAAATAATGATTGAAAGATACAAAATACGGAAAAGACCATGCCGGAAATACTGGAAAAGTAAAATACTTAATTCGCCATTTCCAACATGGCCGTCAAAACAAAGTAAATCTAAATATTTGAAATATGAGAGTAAAAAGGCAAATATAAGGTAAATATGTACACTAAACTACAACTTACTAACTTAAAATATAAACGGAGGGGTTAAATATGACGCCCGGCGATCGGAAAAGACCAAGGGTTTACCACCTTTTGATCGCCGGTCGTCACATCACTCCCCCTTTAAAAACAGGTTCGACCCGAACCAACAGAAAGAAAAAAAATATATATGTATATAACACAAGAGTCCATTGACTAAAGAGTCCAATGTTGATTTTAAGGCCTCATTGGCAGTGTTCATATTCATTATAGTTCATCCATGGAGTCTGGAGGGGAGAAAATGAAATGATCCACTGAGTCTACTTTGGACACCCTCTCCCCCTGACTTAGTTTGTAACGATCTAACTCATCAGGGGAAAGGGCGCCCACTACTTTCTCAGACAGGACCACCTCCAGGCTCATCAAGGGAACAATCTCTGAGGGTCCCTCCTTCATTGTTGCCCTCCTTCTCTTCCTTCTTCGCCTCTTCTTGGAAGGCCCACAGACCACAAGGTGTGTCATGCCTACCACCCGGTTGGGGGAATCTGAAGCAGCAGAAGTGGGGGGCTTCTCAGGAGTTTGGGCAAGGGTGCCCTCAAACTGGTGAAGAAGCTCACCAGTGACGACACCCCGCTCCTGGAAGACGACCTTCCTCTTGGGGAGTGTTACGGTAACGTCCACGTGGGGACTTACAACTGTAGCTGGCACTGATTGTTCTTCGAAGTATGCAAGCTTCACTGGAAGGCTCTCAGGAACTGAAGTTTGAGTAGTTGGGGCTGGGGGCTCAGCAATGTGTGCCACCCGGACTACTGCTGGTGGTTCAACCTCTGTAGATGGGGCTGGGGATGCAGCCTCAGTAGTTGGGGCCGGGGGCTCAGCAAGCCGTGCCACCCGGACTACTGGGGACTGTTGAAGCTGGGGGCTCTTCTTCATCAGTTTCACCCTGGCCCGACAGACCTTGACGTGGGCCTTCAGCAGTTTCCAGGATGAGAACTTTTCCTCACATATGATGGCACCCTTGTTGTTGCGTCTCATGATGGTAGTCCTGCATTCCTGAAAGAACAAAATGGGAAAGGGATGGTGAGGGTTTGAGGGTGACTATGGGCACATATTAAAGCAATATCATTTAACATGTTATGGAGTACACCTCATACCCATCTAACCAGGATGGTACCTTTGCCTGACGGGAGGGTCGTTTATTTCGATCAGGAGTTGAAGGACCTTGGGCAATTGTTTGGGAGTCCTCCTTAGGGGTGGAAGGCGGAATATTAGAATGAAATTCAGGGGGTTTCTCTCCAAGAAAAGGCTTCAAACGATTGCTATGGACAACCTTTTCTTTCCCCTTTATTTCCAACATGTACCGGAGATCATCAAGTTTTAGGAGAACCTTGAAGGGGCCATGCCAATGATTGGCGAATTTGGGGGTCTGACCTGTCTTGGCTAGGGGGATGTGTAGCCAGACTAGATCATTTTCATGGTACTCCGCTAGATTAGCCTTTAAATCATTTTGCCTCTTTTGGTTATTACTTGACAGAGAAATATGATTACGGGCGGTTTCATGGACAACAACCAACCTTTCTTTGAGGTTTTGACAGTAGGTGGTTGCAGCACTATCTTGGGGTACATTGTTGTAACTTGGGGGTGGCCGACCAAGCACCAGATCCGCTGCAATATGTGGGCGACGACCAAACATCAACTCAGAGGGAGCAAATTTGGTCGTTTCATGTACAGCAGATCTGAGGGCAGACGCAACAAAAGGAAGGAACTGGGGCCAATCTCGGTGATGGCTTGAGACAAGTTTGGCAAGCATGGATTCGATTGTCCGGTTAGCTCGTTCGACGAGCCCATCAGACTGGGGATGATAAGGGGTGGTACGGGTCTTGTTGATTTCAAAAATACGACAAACCTCCTGGAACAGTCGAGACTCAAATTGGGCACCTTGATCAGAATGAAGCTGTAATGGGGCACCATAGCGGCAGAAAAACTCAGTGATCAAGGCATTGGCGACTGTGGCTGCTTCTTGATTTTGCATGGGAAGAATTTCAGGGAATTTTGTAAAATAGTCTTCAATGACCAAGACATATTTGAAACCTTCCTCAGACTGTGGCAAAGGGCCTAAAATATCAATTCCTATACGTTCAAGTGGGGCCCCAACATTATATTGCTTCATTGGGGCTTTGGCGCGAGTCCCTGGATTTTTCCTTCTTTGACACTCTTTGCATTCTGCCACCCATTTTGCCACATCCCCTTTGAACCCAACCCAATAATATCGAGGTCGAAGCCGATTAATTGTTTTAGCCACCCCAAGGTGACCAGTATCAAGAGAATTGTGGAGGTGGGTTAACACTTGGGACCGAAGGGACTTTGGGACTAGGATTTGCCATTCCACCAAGTTTGTATCAGAATGCACCCACTTCCTATAGATTACTCCATTCTCTAACTTATACCTATCCCATTGGGACCAGTACTGTTTGAGGAGAGGAGACCGATCAGAAATAGTTTGCCAATCTGGCCGCTTTCCCTCTTCTAACCAGGTGAATAGTTTGGACATTTCGGGGTCTTGGAGTAAAACATCTTTTATCCCTTGCTCCGTCAAATTTGGTGCCCAATGGCAATAAGAAACTGGATTGGAACAGTCATCAGATCTATCCGTGCCCGGACTGACAATCCGAACAGAGGGAGTGGATATCAAATCAATGTCGAAGCTGACACGGTTAATAACAGGGCCATCATTGGAGTCCTCATCAGTTTGGCTGCTGAGAGGGGGTGTGCGTCCAAGAGCAACCTGTCTATCACAATAGCGGCAGTCAATACATGGGACTCTGGATAAGGCATCAGCGTTGAGGTGCTTCCTGCCAGCCCGATGGGAAATGGTGAAGTCATACTGACTTAGGTACTCGAGCCAGCGGGCCAGCTGTCCTTCAGGGTTCTTAAATCGGAAGAGCCATGTAAGGGCACTGTGGTCAGTTCGAATGGTAAAAGGATTCCCATAGAGGTAGTGGTGAAAGTGTTTCACTGCTTTGACAATAGCCAGTAACTCCAACCGGGTAGCACAATAGTTCCTCTCACATTTGGAATGGGTCTTACTGAAGTTCTGTACAACCCTCTCCTCACCATCTACTATTTGGGATAGCACCGCACCAGATCGACAAGCACTGGCGTCAGTGTCAAGGATCAATGGTTTAGTTACATCAGGGTAATCTAAAGTTGCTGCATTCAAGAACAGTCTCTTCAGCTCTTCAAAAGCTTCGCCACATGGGGTGGTCCACCTGAAGACAGCTCCCTTGTCAGTTAGGCGGACCAGGGGCTCAGAAATGCCAGCAAAGTTGGGAATGAATTTCCTGTAGTAGGAACAGTGGCCAAGAAATGCTCGCACCTGTCGGACTGTTTTGGGGGTAGACCAGTCTCGTACAGCAGCAAACTTGTCAGGGTCTATAGAAATGCCACGCTCAGAGACTACGTGTCCAAGATAGCATACTTCAGATTGGAACAAATGGCATTTCTTAGGGGACAATTTCAAATTTGCATCTCGAAGTTTTTCAAAAACTTTAGATAATCGGTCAAGATGTTCTTCTACGGTTGAACTAAAGATTATTATGTCATCAAGGTAGACGAGACAACAATCGGTGTTCAAACCGGATAGAACGACATTCATCAGACGTTGGAAGGTTGCAGGGGCGTTTGACAAACCAAAGGGCATCACGGTAAACTCATAGAGTCCCCATTTGGTGGAAAATGCAGTTTTCGCTGAGTCAGCATCATTCATAGCTACCTGCCAGTAGCCACTAGCCAAGTCAAGGGTGCTGAAGTATTTAGAACCCTTTAAACTGTCTAAGGTGTCGTCTATCCTTGGCAGAGGATAGGCGTCCTTCACAGTTACTTGATTTAGCTGACGATAGTCAACACAAAAACGGAGTGATCCATCTTTCTTGGGGACAAGTACGATTGGGGAAGCCCAAGGTCCATTGGAGGGTCGGGCAATACCTTTTTCAAGGAGCTCCTCAACAATTTGCCGACCTTCACGCTCTTTGGAATAGGGTAATCTTCTTGGAGGCTGCCGGATGGGTTTAGCATCTCTCGTGTCTATCTCATGCTGAACCTTGTCTGTCCGACCAATGTCAAACTTGGACTGGGCAAAGAGGTCTGCATTATTTTGTAGAAATGTCTTCAACAACACCTTCTCAGTTGAGGTCAAAGATTTTCCACTTTCAGAAAACAAGTCCTGTAAGTGGTCAGGGAAACAGTTCGAGTCTGTAACATTCTCACTGGGAACGAAGTCAACATTTTCTTGTATAGGGAGTGAATCAGGTTCACTTCCTTCAGCAATAACACCGAGGCGAATTGGGTCAGGGTCCTTCAATAGCATTTCAGGGCAAATAACAGGGTCAACCGGGTCAAAGGTCAATGGAGTTGCTTTCTGCAACTCATTCAAGTGGTCGACAGCCATTAAATCAACAAAATCATCGCTGCTATTATTCAGGGGAACATCAGCCTCAGGTGTTTGACAAGGGTCTGGACTAGGGAAAATAGAGTTCACTTCACATTGTTTCTCTGACACATCCTCTGGGAATGGGGGCAATGGATCATAGATGGGTTCCCCAGAGGCAATTGTCATGTTTCTATACAAAATCATGGGCTGGAGGCCAAGATTGGCAATCCTTATGGGAATAAAGGGGTTACGGGGACTAACCACAGCTTTAGCCACCATGAGATTATTTAAACTGGGGCTTGGATTTGCACTTTGGGAGACGAGTAATGGAGTGTCTCCCCATTCACATTCAGTCCGTCCAGGGACGATCATTTCACTGTTGGGCGGCACTGTGATGGTTTCCTCCATCAACAGTTTGCAAGAGGGGGACAAGGTGTTTTCAAAGACACATTCAAAAATATCCCCATTTAACTTCAAAGTTCCCTCTTTCACATTCATTATCCCACAATTTTCCTCCAAAAAGTCAAATCCCAAGATAGCTGAGCAGGACAGTTTACTGACAAGAAAGAGATGTGAAAATATGGTGTCACCAATTTTGAATTCTTGCTTTACTCTCCCCAGAATTGAAGATTGGCTTCCATCAGCCAGGGTAACACTTGAGCCTAGTGGGTTTTTGGCAGGGACATTAAAACTATGTCCTAAACATTTTGCAGTCTGTTCAGAAAGTAAACTCACTTGAGCACCAGAGTCAATTAAAGCTGGGATGGAAAGACATGGGAAATTCAATTCAAGGCAGAGGCCATTGTAGCCACTTTGGATTTTAAAACTGGTGGGCCTTTGTGGCTGGGATGCTGAATCGAGGCCCACCGACTCAGCACATTCTAGTTTCCCGACTTAGATGGGGACTTGGCCTTCAGGGCAGGGCAGTCTGAGACTCTGTGGCCATCTTCGCCACATTTGAAACAGACACGGGCTCCAGGGACTTTTGAATTGGGATGTCTGTGCAGGCAATCAAAAATACTGTGTTCCCGAGTATCACATATTTTGCAATAAACAGTACGTCGGGGTTTTGAAGTAGGATGCCTGGCTACATTGGCCTTAATAGTCTCAGAGAGGGATTGGAGAGTTTCCATCTGGGACTTCTGACTCTCCAACAATTTGGAGAACTCGGAAATCAAACCAGATGGGGACTCAGTGGGCAGGGGTTGGACAGGTGTTTTGGCAACTCGGAGTTCGGGGTCAGTCGTGACTTGTAACCGCTGCTTACGTCCCTTGAAAAAGGATTCGTATTGCAGGGCCATGGTCAGGGCTTCATTAAGCGACTTGGGGCTTGAAAAGGACAGTTTGGCCTCCAAGTCAACATCATTCAGGGAATCGATGAAGGCCTGTTTGGCCTGATTTTCTATTCCCGATTTTGGCATTCCCATATTGCCATATGCCTTACGAGAGAGCTTGCGAATATCATGAGCCAGCTTCTCAAGGGGTTCATTTGGTTGTCGGAGCCTGTGTTTCAATAGGGCCCTGGCATTATCACTTTGCTGAGGTGGCTCATAATTCATTTGCAGGGCATTGATGATAGAGTCGAGGCTTGGATCTACCTCATCTTCAATATCATCAAGAATGTTTGCAGCCTCACCCTCCAGGCTTCTAATTAAGTAAATTGCAGCCTGGCTGTTGTCCCACCCGTTGTTGCGTGCCACTAATCTAAATTGGGTAAGA